CTTCTCTTTACACGGGAAAAAAGAAAAAAGAAAGGTAACTAAATCTTTGAGGTATTTTAAAAGTTTTTACTTTTTAAGAGTACCAACAAATATAAATAGAATCAAATTAGAATTTAATTTTGGGAATTTTAAAATTATTTTTTAACATTTTATGTAATTAGTTGAGAGTGAATTCCTTCTGGAGGTTTTCTGCCCTGTATTTATAAAATTGTTGGTAATGAAAATTATCTTAAAAAATACTTTTTGTTCATTTTTTCCATTTTTATTTGTAGGCCATTTTGAAACCTTTTTCGGTGTAACATTTTGCGCTCTCGCCATCGCTTGGATACATTTTCTAGTTTTGCCGCCATTTCTTGTTTCGATGTTGTGCACTTTTCCTCGTCTCGCTTTTTGTTGCACGAGGGTGGAGTTTTCGCTCAACTCAACTGAAAACTGAACTGAACTCAACTGAGGCCCTGGCGCAAGAAATGGCACCGATGTGAAATGAAGTTTTGATTTAGTTCAAAATTTTTATCAAAAGAAACGCGTTACTGCTGCTGCTGTGGCTCTTGCTGCTGCTTCTGATTTCCCCTCGCCTCGCCCCCTTTCGGGGGTTTCCCTTGCAGTTTTTCTAATAAATCACAGCATGGGTTGTCTCCTGATATGGGCGGACCTTTCGGGCGTAATGGTATTTTGATTTATGTCTCCACCAACCATAATGCAAAAGTTTTCAAACACACACTGCCAAGCAGCCGTGAAGACACACCTATGAAATAAAATAAAATAAACGCTTTCAAAATGTTTGCAAATATTACAATATGTTTAATGCTTGACCAACTGTGCGTATGCGTGATATCAAAGACACTTTACTGCCTGATTAAGAACTCGCTTCTGTTCAGCTGTATTCAAAGAGAATTTTACGAAAGTGTTATGTAAATCGAATTAAAACTAAATTAATGTGTTTAAAATTGGTTTCTTGTCTTTTAACAGTGCGTATACGTAATATTTTATATCTAATTCTATAAAATAGGTATAATCTGTAGCCAACATTTTAAAAATAAATGCAAATACAAAGGTAAACCATCCAAACTCATCAAATAAAATATTAAACTATTGGATTTGTTTAAAAAATAATATACTACAACATAAAACTTAAATATATATTATTTAAAAAACAATTTTAGTATTGTTTTTCGGAAAATAAGCCAATTTTACTGAATCAAAATATAATCTAAATTAGAAATAATATAAATCTACACCTTGGAAAGATATTCAATATCACGACCACCGTAGATCATCTTGTCGTTTTGCCGGATATCATCAACCCATTCTCAAGTTAAATAATTACAAAATGGCAATTACAGAAACAGACTTTCTCCATCCCTCTCTCTCTCTTTCTTTTCTTCACTCTTCGTCCCACAAATCGCAAGATTTTTCAGCATTTCTTGGCAAAAAACCCAAGGCAGACAGTGCTGAGGAACGCCCACCCACCACCAGATCCTGGAAGGGATTCAGATCCAGGCGACGAATGTGAGTGCCATCGTCATGGCGATGAGGAAGCCGAGAACAGAAGCCAGAAGCCCGGCAAGGACTAATGAGACTGCCACAGGACGCAGGACGCAGGACGAGCGCCTGCAGTGCAAAAGTTTAGCAAAAGTGTCAGAAAATGTGAACGCGATTGTGTGGGTTGCTGGGTGTGGGTAATGTGCCGAGGTAAACGGCAGCAAACGAGATGAATGATATCCAGACGAGTGATGCATGAGTCGCTTTGGGGGCGGGTGGCTTTCGGTGGGTGGCATTCCGACGCTTCATTCGCCAGGATATGTGTTTGCTCCCAAAAAAAGGGGGCGGCGGTGCGCGGTGGGCGGTGGGCGGAAGATGCTGCCTTGTAAGCGAGACGCAGGCGTGGAAGCAGCAGCGAATGAGCATGCGAATGCACACAAACACCCACGCCTATATACAGACACTCATACTCACAGGGGAAGAGGAAAACATATCCAACTCGAATCTTGTCTACAATAAATCAAATTTTATTACACTTTTCTTTATGCATGCCACAGGATATATGGCAAGCGTATGGCTCACTGATGAGCACACAAACACCCAGGACTCGCACACACACATGCACACGGGCACGGAGAACTGAGATTTTCGCAAGCTCATTTAGTGGGGTTCGTCCTTTGGCGGGCGGACTCGGGGTTGGGCGGAATTATCACACGGATTGACATCGTTGCCACACGTCGCAAAAGGATTCAGCATTTGGGGACACGATTAAGCAAGTATTTATTTAATGTTAAGGGTCTTAATGCAAGATTTTATAGACTAAATATGTATCTACCTTAGTAAATTAAAAAAATAATTTGTTGGCTAATTATAAAATATCTGTTATATTTCTATATACTGATAAACGGAAACCAATTTAAAATAATAAAATATACCTAGTTAAGAATGTCTACATTTTTCTGTTATTTTTTTTGTGATCTAGAACAATTTAAAGTAAATGAGAAATAAAATGTTATGATAACTTGTTTTACATTAAATAAATATCTACTAGAATATTTTAATTTTTAAAAAAAATATATATGCTTGGGAAATATAATATTTTATAAGTTTTTGTGAAATTGCCTGCTCATACTTGCCTTCATTTGGTGATCCTGACATTTTGGCCATATAAATTTGATTTCCTTGTCTATTGCCTCAGGACTCGGGAATTAACTTTGCCCACACATTGGGGCGAAGGCACCCACTTATGTACATGCTACCCCCTTTTACCCACCTCCTTTCACCCAACCACCCACTTAGACATAGAGACAGTGTCAGTGTCGGCAGTTTTGTTGGCTTATCAAAGAGCAAAAAAGTAAACCGTTATGCATGACACTTTTCAGAATTTATGTGTTTGTATCTCATTAAGCGGAGCGGCAGTGGGCTTTCGGGAGGGGGTGGGGTGCGAGGTCAACCCAAAGGTGTCCCGTGCGCAACTTTCGGAGGCAAGAAAAGCAGCGCCCCCCTCCTTCCCCTTCCAAAAAAACCAAGCCATCAATGAAGCCAAACTGAAAACTGAGGCGGGCCAGAAAAGTTGTTTGGAACATTTTCCAAAAATTATCTCTTAACACAAATGTGACACCCAGCACATGTCCTCCTACTCCCTCGAGGCATATCATATATGTACTTTGTACACAGATAAAAACAGGGATAACATATAATATTTGATGGAAAAAATTAATTTTATTAGTTTGAAATAATCGTAAAATGTTTGTGATAAATTTCCTTTCTTTTGAACTTTAAGAACTTTGGAACTGAATTGTTGTTGAACGTAAAAGTTTTATTAAACAAACATGAAATGAATGCACTTTTAGATTAAATAAAAAAAAATAAAAAGAATTTTTATATTCTTAGAAAAATTTTATCAGATAATGTGAGTAAGTTAAACTTCGTTACAGACAGATGAGAGATTTAACAATTATCTACTCGTTAAAAATGTTATTATATTTAAACAATTTTATATAGCTGGTGTACTCATTCTATTCATATGTTTACTATTGATAAATCTCCAACAACAAATTTTATTACTTTGAAATAATGGCCTATTTGGATAATTTTCCTACTGTGTATCTTTCAGCCCCGCCCACCGCTTCAAGCCGCCCACAACGCGCACACATCATAAATTTTAAGTGAAAATGAATCCTTTGGCAATTGAAGTTTTCGAGGAGATTTTTGTTGGCGTCGGATCGTCATCAACGTCGGCCGAAAGAGAGGGCAATAGGCGAGCGGAAAGAGACGGGGATAGAGGCAGGGATATGCGTATGAAGTTGCTATCGGTATCTGGATGTCGTTGTCTTAATCCTTTGTTGCCCATAAATCAGCGAATCGCGTTCACATTTCGCGCATGTTCCTGTTCCTGCATCGTCCTTTCCCCGCCCCCTTCCGCACCCACCCTATTTGCCACCCCTTCCTCCCACTTCGGCCCACGGAGTTAACACGACCATGTGCCCCATAATTCAGGTTTAATTAACTCTGCGTGTTTATTAGCAAATATTAGTTTACAATTTGATATGCCATGTTTTCGGGCTCCATCGTTCCACAATTAACTGAGATTTTGGCTGGCCCCGAAATTTGGCCAATTGGGGAGCAATTGAAAAGCCGGACCATGGCAGATTAGGCCACTGCCCAAGGCTGGCTAAAACACAGCACAACAACCATGATTAGCTAATTGAGCGACTGTTAGGAGATGGCAAAACGGACCGAGCTAACATACACGCAAATAAAAATAATTAAATTATACAAAACATAAATAGCTTTGTTTTTGGTCTTTGAATGAATAATGGAATGTTCAAGATCAAGTATAGCAGTTTATAACGAAAACAAATAATTTGTATTACATTCAGTCAAAACATAACAAATTGAAAATCAAAAATCTCTCTGAAATATTATGAGAGATTGAATTAACTGACTGAAGTTTAATTCTGCATTATTTTCGTAGGACAAAAAGCGACCCTAGTGCCAAAATTTGATTTCAGAAATTTAGTGTGTTGATCGTGTTAAATAGTTTTTAATGCCTTTCCAATTATTAAAAAAATCGAACATTGTTTTAATAATAGTTTTGCAAGTAAAACAAAAAATGTATAATCAAAAATTATTATTAAATAATTATAATTAACTTGAATAAAACTTTGGTACAATACCGATTCATACCCATAAATCAAGCATCCATAACTTTCACAAAAAGCTTCTCACGATGTTTTGCTTTAAATGCCAGTACTTCTATTTAGTTGTTGTGTCGTCTGAATTGAAGTGACCCAGTAGTCACAATATTTCGTCTTTGTAAGCTACAAACAGCAAGAGTGTAATACTGCACTCCACAAATCGACCCCACTTCAATAAAATTAGAAAATCGAAATCCTGTTTTAATCGGAAACATACAACTTTTTATTGAACTCTTCATTTGCATTCGATAACTTGGTAGCTTCCTTTTCAATTGCAGATTGCACACTAATTTGGAATCAAAGTTTTCAATTAGATCGAGTCCAGATTCGATTGGGTTTTGCTTGTTCGTGGAGAGAAAATCATGGTAATTGTATTTTGAATGCTGCGCCTTTATTGCATTTATATAACTTACACTTACGATCTAGGGGGCGGGGTGGGAGGTGTTACAGGATATATGTGGGATGTTGGGGGCGTGGCGAAAAGGAAGCGAACGGTTTCGTTTTAAAAATAATATCACAAAAACTCAAATACAAGTCGTATACATAGTTACCATATATCATAGATATAAATTATTCCCGACGAGAGACGACGACAATAGTGATTGTTGTATTGATAATAATGAAATGTTTTACATTCTGCAAACTTTCTCCTCCTCTTAGGTTTAATCTTAGGTTAGATATTCAAGATTCTTAGTTATTGTTGAGACTGGAGTTGCCGGTATACATGGGTATATTTAGTTCGTAGGTGTATATATATATAATTTTTAAAATTGTTTCCGTATACATGCGTTGCTGTGGCTACATTTTGATTTTGACTTTCTATATCTTTATGTAAATATTGATAATCTTTAGACATATGGAAGGAAAGTGCTATTGGCTAAGTATTTACATGTACTTGATGCATTCTTTCGAACGGGGGCTATATATGCATCGTTAAAAGTCTCCTCCAAGCAAAAAAATGCATCCATCCAATGAGGTTAACTCTTTTTTTTCAAGTGTTAGGTTTTTACGTATACTGCGTTGCGTTTGTTTTGTAATTGCTTAGGAGTAGTGATTTAATTGTTTTAGTTTAGCTTATTAGATTTAAGTATTTCGAATTTTTTGGCACGCTTTTATTCATTCTTTTGTGACCAGGAACTGCGGCATAATAAATAAATAATGTTTGACTCGTTTGCTCTGAGTGCACTCCAATTCGAATCCAATTGCACTCGAAATCGAATTCCAAATCCAATTTGCCACTCAATCGTGGCCCTCTCTCGCTCTCTCCCTGGCTCTCATCCCCACCCACTGGGCTCTCTTTCCGTCTCTCTCGCCCCCATCCAATCGCAGTTTGACGAACTCGTGTCGTCGCCTTTCGTCACTCTGCTACTATGGCCGTCTCTGTCCGACGCGCCTTGATGGACAGCAGTTCGTCAAAGTGGTGGTAATTGAATTTCCAGCTGGCCTAGCCCCCTCTCGCTCGCACAGCCGACTGCGACTGTCCGATTGGGAAACAATAAAAAGCGGACCAGCATCGCCGTGACGTCACCGACCGAGGGGAAACTCAAATCTTAGAGAGAGGAGAGACTGGGGAAATTCCTTTGCGAATTCAGCAAAAGTAGGGGAAATCCCTGTGAGAGTGTGGGTGTGCAGCGAGAGAGAGCGCCTGCAAAATATTTGCGAGCGTAACAGAGAGAGAGAGGGAGAGCGAGAATGGAGATCAGAAATGAAGAGAGCTTTTGGAACATCCGTTTTGAGTTGGAAAATACATTTTAGAGTTTTTGAAATCTGTTTGGATCTTTGCAAGCGAATATCTCTATAGCAAACAGATGGTTTGCATTTGATTTGAAAGGAAGACTATTTCTTAGAACAATTTAAAGATCAGTATTTCCGTAGTATAACATATTTTTAACTTTTTAACGAAAAGTATTCTGTGATAATTATGAAATTTGAAACATATGACAATAGGTTGTTTTTTAAAGACCGTTAGAGAGAGTCTTTCTTGGGTACACTTTCAAATAAAAAAAAAAGAGATCTTATTAATTCTACGCTTGACTTTAGTTTAAGTTTAGTTGACCTCTTTGTAAGAGCTCCTCTTTTTAACCAATCTGTTTGCTAATAGAGTTGTCTCGGCCTTACTATTTTTTAAGGTGACCCAACATCTCTGTTAGTTTAGGATTCCTTTAGGCATTCTTCGAGGACAACTGTTTGGCCAGCTCCGTGTATTTGAGAAACTTGGACTGCGGACTCTCGTCGTAGGGATTGATGGTGGGCGACGGAGGGGGCTGTTGGGCTCCTGTCGCCGGACTCCTGGAGGCCGATCTCTTGGGCGAGGCCATGGGCAGCGACTTGGGGCTCTGGGCGGCGGCTGCCGGGGACTTGAGCCTGGGCGACTCCTCGCCGGCGTCCTTCACAAAGTGCACCTTGGACAGGTGGTGGCGGTAGGCGCCCTTCGATCCAAATGGCGTATCACAGAAGGAGCACTTGATGATGGACGAGTCGCCGCCGGAGCCACCACTGCTGGCGCTCAGGACAGCCTCGTTGCAGGCCCAGCTGAAGGCCACCAGATCGCTTCCGCTCGCGGATGCGGACCCGCCGGAGGATCCGCTGCGAGGATTCGAGGCCGGAGGATCCGTGGTCTCGCACAGTTTCTGCAGCGCAGCCAGGGGATGGGCCTTTGGTTTCTTCGTAGAGATTCCGCTCGGCTGGTTGTTGTTGTTGTAGCAGTGTCCTGAAAAATAGACAGATAAGTAACATTAACATTTTATTTAAGAAAAAATTGATTAATTAATTAATTAAGAAAGGTCAGTCCAGATATGAAATGTTTGATAGGGCTAATTTCTCAGTTAATTTATTAAATTAAATTTCAAAATAAGAATTTTTACACTATTTAGGGTTCAGTGCTATCTATAAAGCATCAAGAAATTATTATTGAACTTGGAAAAGGATTATATGAGTGGGAAAATAAATGCCTTTATTATAAACCCAAATATATTATCATTTATTTATTAATTATTGTCAAACTAATTCTATTTTTGTTATAACGATATTTGTAATGGTGAGAATTATGTAGTTTATTGTTCTAAACCAAATAATGAGCATTTGTTTTTAATGATTTCTTATTAATTTTACCACACTCATTTAAATTTCAAGAATTTACTTAAAACATCTGTATTAAACTGTACAACAAATGTTGTAAAATACAGAAATTTAAAAGTAATTGGTGATAAAATCTACATCTCCTCACCCATTCTTTCGATTCACTTCCACTTACCCGAGTTGTTGTTGTTGTTCTCCACCCCACTCAACTGATCGAACATGGAATTCAGGGCCAGCAGACTGCCATTATCCGGAGCAGATCCTCCGCCCTGCGGCGCAGGAGATTGGCCGGCAGACCGAGGACTCTCCCGATTCGCCTCCATGCTGAACTCCTTCTTCACGTGGATCTGCTGCCGGGGACTGCCGCCCTCCGGATCGCTGCCACCCATCGAAGGTTCCGCCTCTGGGGGCTCCGCTTTGATGGTGGGCGGCGGAGGAGGCGGAGGCGGGGCCGGGGTATCGGGCGTCCTGCGGGGAGTGGCCTGCTGTCGATCCGGGGTGTACGATGACTCCACCCTGCTGGCCGAACTCGATTCGCTGGCACTGCGATCCCGGGAAGCGTAGGAGGATCGGAGCAGGTGCATCGCCTGGGCGTCCATCAGGGGTTTCGTGTAGTCGCTGCTGTCGTCGATGCCCAGACGCTTCAGGATGCTGGCGCCCAGCGGAGTTCCGGCCTCGGAGTAGCCGCCAGGAGTCATGGTTCTTCCCGCCCGCGACTCGAAGCTCTTCTCGATGAGCTGCTCCAGGGCGTTGAGCACCGACGGGGGCTTCTCACCGCCCATTCCCGAGCTGGGACTCGGCAGACGTTCCACTCCGGCGGCGGAGCGCCTGGGCGGAATGGGAATGCTCTCGCCCAGGCACTTCCTTATGTGCTCCACAAACAGAGCGGTCTCGATCTTGCTGCCGCACTTCTCACAGGTGATCTTGGTGGCGGCAGCAAAGTCCCTCAGGGGTTTCAGAGCCGAGTCCAGGCTGGAATTCGATCCGGAACGCTCGAGTTCGAGGAGCTTCCGCACCGGCAGCGACTTCTTGCGCTTCTCGTTGCGATTCTGCCTGCCCCTCTTGGAGTTCCCAGCACCGCCGGGAGCAGCAGGTGGGGAGGCAGAGGGAGACTCCTTGTAGTGCGACTGCTGGGCCATGTGGGTGCTCAGCTCCTTGAGGGTTCCGAAGGCCTGGTCGCACACCTTGCAGGTGAGCACGGCGCTCACGGAGGGAGCTGTTCCACCCGCCGCCGGGGGAGGAGGCGGAGGATGAGCTGCGGATGTAGGCGGGGCTCCCCCGTTCGAGGGCCTCTCCCGCTCATCGCCCGACTTCCAGGATATGATCTGCTCCTGCGAGATGATGTTCGTGTAGTGCTGCGTCTCCTGCATGTGGCTGGTCATCTCGGCCAGCGACCGGAAGCTCTGGCCGCACCACATGCACTTGAGTATCTGGCGCGTTTGCTCCGCCCCCTTTCCCAGCCAGACATCCTGGCCCCTCACCAGCTTCCTGGGCAGCGGCATCGTCTCCTTAATCAGCATGTTCAGCTCCGATTTCGAGGAGTTCGAGGAGCTGGACGTGGAGCTGCTGCTGCTGGAGCAGGCCGAATTGGAGGTCGAAGTGGGCAGCCTGGCGGGGGGTGGAGCAGGTGGAGCCGACGAGGGCGAGGGTATCTGGACGCCGCAGTGCTGGGTCTCCTTCATGTGGGTGGTCAGGCTGGCCAGAGTGGAGAAGCTCTGCTTGCACCACACGCACTTGAAAACATCCTTGGCGGCATCGGCGCCCTTGTTCAGCCAGTGCGACTGCCAGGCACTGTGTCGCCCACCAGAGGATGATCCCCCTCCTCCTGCAGAGATTGCTCCCGATCCCAGAGAGGCCGTTCCGCCCGAGGAGCTCCTGGCCACCGGTGGCGGCGTCTCGCGGCGACTCATCTCGCTCATCTTTTCCAGCGCCTTGCTGGCTTCACTGGGCGCCAGTTTGGAGTTGCCCAGCCCCCCCGTTTTGGCCGCCACAGCCGCCAGGTAGGGATTGATGGGCGGCATCCAACTGCCAGGAGGCAGCGGTGACTTGTAGTCGGAGGATACACTTCTCGGAATCTTCCTGGCTGGCGGCGGTGAGTCCTGTCCCTGCCTCTTTCTTGTGCTAACCGAGAGATCCAAGGGTCCCTGTCCGTCCTGCTCGGGCTCTTGGTCCTGCTCCTGCTCCTCCTGATCCTGATCCTCGTCCTCCTCCTCTCCATCGCTCGTCGGGCGCTTTCTGCTAAAGTCCAGGGCCGGGGAATCCCCCTCCTCCGCCGCCTGCTGCGTCGCCTGTTGGACCAAAGAAGCTGCTGCCGCCAAGGGATTCGTGAGAAGCAGGTGATTCTGTTGGGCGGCGGCCAGGTAAGCAGCCATGGCGGCGGATTGGGGTGGCAGCAGGGCAGCCGCGGCCGCAGGGGGCAGAGTCGCCGTCAGCGGAAGACCCACCGAGTGTGGCGAGATGGGAGTGGCCGTTGGGGTGGGCGTGGCAGCCGGGGTCAGACGATCGTTGGCCGAGCAATGGGACTCATTCGATGGACATCGCACATCGCCCGATCCCGTTCCCGCTCCACCTGATGTGTTCGACTCCCGGGACTGACAGCGCGGACTGGCCAGCTCGCTGGAATGGAAAGAAAGGAAGAATGGAGGTTAAGATCAAGAAAATGTACTAACCAAAATAAACACAAATATAAATATATACCCAATGAGCCGCTTAAGTAAGGGATTATATAGCCAAAATAATAGTCATTTTAAGATTCAGTACTACTTCCCCCTTTTTTTAAATACCAAGCTGATACTTTCCGATGGTGACATTATATCGGTTAAATAAAATATCTTATTAAACGATCTAAGGGCTAGTACTCAACCCAACAAAACGTCGTCCAAGCAAAAAACTAAATATGAAAAAACACAAGTTTCTGGCTTCCAATAAGAGCAAATTATTCGATTTGATATGTACGATGTTTGAAACAACACAGAACGTTTAATCTTTCACTTCAAATCAAAGGCCCAACTTTATCAAAGCAGATTTCATTCCTTTTTGCTTTTCCTACAGCTTTATATATTTATACCCGTTACTCGTAGAGTGAAAGGGTATATTGTATTCGTGCAAAAGTATGTAACAGCTAGAAGGAAGGGTTTCCGACCACACAAAGTATATATATTCTTGATTAGGACCACTAGCCGAGTCGATCTAGCCATGTCCGTCTGTCTGTCTGTATGAACGCTGAGATCTCGGCAACTACAAAAGCTAGAAGTTTGGGATTTCACACACATATTCATGGGCTTCATTGAGGTGTCACGCAACCCCCCCCTCCCCCCCAACACCCACAATACCATAACCGATTTTAAAATGTTTCTGGCGGCCACATATTTTAAGATTTTAAAAATAATAAAATATATTTATAGTGTTTTAAAATACCTATTGAAATGTGAAAGACATTTTTCAAATCGGACCATTCATTAAAAAGTTATGCACTATCAAAGCTTTATATCTCCCTCGCACTGCTAGCTGAGTGACGGGTATCAGATAGTCGGGACACCCACGCGACTATAGCGTTCTCTCTTGTTTTTAGTTACACTGGCACACTAATCCTGTCAGATTGGTCAATAAAGTGACGCTTAACTAGAATTACATTTTGGTATACTATCAACAAGAGTTTAACACAAAATAAAATTTCAACTGAAACAATCTCCTGAAGTTTGAAAATACAATTTTTGTTCTTTTTAGTATAACATATATTAATTATTTACGTTGACCAACCGACTTTTTGGGTATAAAAATCTAAGCATAAAGAGTAACAGAATAACATGAATACATAACCGATAGTGATTAATATTTTTTTAAAACACATTTTTTATAACATTACATTAATGTCAACAGTAAAACATACTCTGTTTTTTTTATCCATCTTTTATGTTCCAATATAAAATGTGTAGAGCTCAAAGTGTTATTATTTCACAGCAATCACAACATAATTCATAAACTTGCAACTGGATATTAATAACATCTTAAAATATATGGTAATTTATTTAGTTTACATTTCACTTAAACTTTTATTTAATAATGGAGAAAGGAGCACTATGACTACCTAAAACCTTACATCAAAACAAACTCAAAAATCCCTTGTGGAGACCAAAATAATATAAATATGGGGGACAAACAAAAGGGGATTCGAATCACTCACCTTGCACTCAACGCCTGGCGATAGATTTCCAGCATGACGGCCTCGTGTAGCATCATTTTGTTGGAATTATTTGGTTATTTGGGAACTCGATTTGGATTCGGATTCGGGGCCTCACTCTCCGAAGGTTAGATTACTTGGGCTGTTTGGCAATTAATTCCGACTGCTCATTGATAGGGCTTGTTTTTCTTTTTGTTTTTATTTATTTTTATTTGTATTTTGCTGGTTCCCTTCCGTTGTCACACTTCACTTCCAATTCAAACATGCGCGAAAAGCGAAAAGAACTCTGATTCTGATTTTATTTTCGTTCACTAAATAAATTCTTTGGCGACTGTATGCGTGTGTGTGTGTCAGTTTCGTGTTGAGCTTCTATCAAAAACACACACGTCAAATAAATCAAATGTCACAATGCTTCGATGGGCGAAGGGGGGTGGCGAAGTGGGGGGAGGGGGAGGACCACGGCTGATGACGAACGCGTGTGAGTTTGCGTTTGTGAGTGTTGCAGGCGTATTTGTTATTGTTGTTGTTGCGGTCAAACTGCCGCCAATTTCACTTCCTTCTGCTTCTTCTTCTTTGGCGCACACACAACAGCTGTGAGTGTGTGTGTGGTGGGGCTATTAATTTAATGATTTACTGACGGCTTGCCACAAGATTTATGTTTATTTATTTCGACGCGTAGAACTCTTAAGGTCTTTAGGTCTCTCGATTTTCGTTTGGTTTTTGGTTGATTTTTTTGTAAACTACTTTCTTGCCACTGGCGATGTACCGTTACTGATGCACCACCCACTGGACACCCAGCGTTGAAAAATCAAGAAACTGCGACATGATTCGACATGATTTTTCGTTCAGTCGTGCGGCCTGACTAAAACATCTTTTTGACAATTGAAACGTTGAGAGCTGACAGCGAACAGCGGTGGCAGCGTATCGGTGGCAGAGAGCGAGCAGAGAGAAAGCAGCGCTGCCACGGCGCCATCAAAATGAGTAGTTGCGCGAGAGCGAGAGAGCGACTGCCGACAGCTTTCCCCATTAAATTGATATATGCCGGCAGCGCCCGGAGAGAGGCTGCGAGCGGTGGCAGAGCGCCGCTTACGCTCTCGCCGACGCCTGCGCTCTCCGTTCGTGCAACTTTGTTTTGATTTATGAGCCCTCTCATTTTACTGCACCGAGAGCAGAGCCAGGATTGCAGATTGTCGAGAACGCAGAGAGAGAGAGAGCGTGTGACAGGTGTTTGTGTGTGGGGGCCGGTCTGGCCTCTGTGCGTGTGTGTGTGGAGAGGGTGGGGGACATTTGTATTTGTATTGCAGCTGGTCAAATGCTGACTGCGCTGCCGGCGTCGACGTCGCTGCCGCTTAAATCAAGGTTATTTATTGAAATTGAAAATGAAGCAATGTGTGGGAGAGGGAGAGCGGGACTGGGAGAGAGAGAGAGAGGATGGTTAAAGAGTTTCCATTTCCATTTTCAGCACTTGAAGAGCATTAATTTCTGCGCTGCTTTTTCTAAAAAGTTATTGTTGCCTCTCCACCTCCGCCCCCTTTCTATGCCCCTCTCTTTCTCGCATGCGTGACCCAGGAAACAATTGTTGCATGCACACCGCAGAAGGATAACAGGATATTTAAGGACAGCGAGGGAGATGCAGATGTGTGCCAGAAAGGGAGGGAGGCTTAAAAGCACACACAGGGTCTGATTTCTTCTGGATTCTTTTCGAAAATGGTTGGATTCGCCATCCATCCCTCCTTTTTCTAGTTTCTCATTGCTTTCCCCGCTGTAATTATTTTCCAATATTTGTGCGCGGACAGCCATTACGCATCTTTATTAGTTTTGTGTTTCGTCTTCACCGATTCAAAGTCGTCAAGTAAAAAAGAAGAAAAATGGAAAACGGCTGTTAGTGGGGGCTACAGAATAGAGGCCTGCATGAATGTATTTATTTCCAAACTTACAGTACTGTACAGCTGTACACGGTACTCAAATTTAGTGTACTCATACAATATTGTAGAGAGTACCCACTCTACCGATAGTAACTGAGTACACTATTTTAGAGTGAACACTTTTTTAATACTATGTGTTATGCTTCTCAATCTGAACAATACTATGAGTGTCGTCTCAATTACTATTGTACAGTACTGTACTCTGAGTAAAAAAAAAAGTGCAAATTTGCAATAGCCCATCAGAAGACGAAGACTCCATAACTCATTCTAATCCACAAATCGATCCTGTTTTTGATGACTACACTCAACCAATCCAAAGCAATAGCCTTCATAATACAATTAATGATGAAATCGAAACATATAAACACGTTAAAATCTCGTACAGTGACGACTTTAATGTCCTGCAATGGTGATTTATCAATAAGAAAACATTTCCATTATTATACAAACTAGGCCTACAAATATTAGCGGTCCCAGCAAGTAGCGCTCCGTCGGAGAGGGCGTTTTCAATTGCAAAAAATCCAATTTCCGCAAAGCGTTCCAAAATTGCTTCGACTGGACAACAAAATAATGTATTTAAACTCAAGGTTATTTAACAGCATTAATGAAAATGTCTTGAATAGCGATTAATGTATTAATAAATCCGTCAATATTTTATGACTAACGACACTTTGTCTCTTTCATTAGGTTTTAAGTGATTCTGCTAGTGGATAGATTACAATATTACAAAGAAATAAGCAAGCTTTAACATTTTATAAATTCAGTAGGCCTTGTAATTTTGGGAAAACTTCATTCACTGTACAATGAGTTATTGTACACCAAAAACACTGTATTCACAATATACTGTACTGTGTCTGGAAAAGTGAGTACAGTATTTGGCAATACAGTCACAAGTACTGCATTCACTCATATTTAAAGTAATGAATACAGAAAAACTTATACAAGTTTTAAGAATGAGTGATTCATTTGTCAGTTTGAATGCATTCATGCAGACCTCTACTCCGCACGCTGTCTCAGTGTGACCGCATGGAAAAAAACCATAATTGAAATGACTTGAATTTCTCGAAATCTGTGGGTTTGATTTCGCTGAAATTAAGAAAGAAATTACTTATAATAATGCCCCTTCTACTGATATACCGTGCAAGTTGGCACAACCTCTGTGAGAGCTGTATTAATTATTTAAAGTTTGCACAGATTGATGGTTTATGTCATGGCTCCGCACGCTGTCTCAGTGTGACCGCGTGGAAAAAAACCATAATTGAAATGACTTGAATTTCTCGAAATCTGTGGGTTTGATTTCGCTGAAATTAAGAAAGAAATTACTTATAATAATGCCCCTTCTACTGATATACCGTGCAAGTTGGCACAACCTCTGTGAGAGCTGTATTAATTATTTAAAGTTTGCACAGATTGATGGATTATGTCATGGCTCCGCACGCTGTCTCAGTGTGACCGCGTGGAAAAAAGCCATAATTGAAATGACTTGAATTTCTCGAAATCTGTGGGTTTGATTTCGCTGAAATTAAGAAAGAAATTACTTATAATAATGCCCCTTCTACTGATATACCGTGCAAGTTGGCACAACCTCTGTGAGAGCTGTATTAATTATTTAAAGTTTGCACAGATTGATGGTTTATGTCATGGCTCCGCACGCTGTCTCAGTGTGACCGCGTGGAAAAAAACCATAATTGAAATGACTTGAATTTCTCGAAATCTGTGGGTTTGATTTCGCTGAAATTAAGAAAGAAATTACTTATAATAATGCCCCTTCTACTGATATACCGTGCAAGTTGGCACAACCTCTGTGAGAGCTGTATTAATTATTTAAAGTTTGCATAGATTGATGGTTTATGTCATGGCTCCGCACGCTGTCTCAGTGTGACCGCGTGGAAAAAAACCATAATTGAAATGACTTGAATTTCTCGAAATCTGTGGGTTTGATTTCGCTGAAATTAAGAAAGAAATTACTTATAATAATGCCCCTTCTACTGATATACCGTGCAAGTTGGCACAACCTCTGTGAGAGCTGTATTATTTATTTAAAGTTTGCATAGATTGATGGTTTATGTCATGGCTCCGCACGCTGTCTCAGTGTGACCGCGTGGAAAAAAACCATAATTGAAATGACTTGAATTTCTCGAAATCTGTGGGTTTGATTTCGCTGAAATTAAGAAAGAAATTACTTATAATGATGCCCCTTCTACTGATATACCGTGCAAGTTGGCACAACCTCTGTGAGAGCTGTATTAATTATTTAAAGTTTGCATAGATTGATGGTTTATGTCATGGCTCCGCACGCTGTCTCAGTGTGACCGCGTGGAAAAAAACCATAATTGAAATGACTTGAATTTCTCGAAATCTGTGGGTTTGATTTCGCTGAAATTAAGAAAGAAATTACTTATAATGATGCCCCTTCTACTGATATACCGTGCAAGTTGGCACAACCTCTGTGAGAGCTGTATTAATTATTTAAAGTTTGCATAGATTGATGGTTTATGTCATGGCTCCGCACGCTGTCTCAGTGTGACCGCGTGGAAAAAAACCATAATTGAAATGACTTGAATTTCTCGAAATCTGTGGGTTTGATTTCGCTGAAATTAAGAAAGAAATTACTTATAATGATGCCCCTTCTACTGATATACCGTGCAAGTTGGCACAACCTCTGTGAGAGCTGTATTAATTATTTAAAGTTTGCATAGATTGATGGTTTATGTCATGGCTCCGCACGCTGTCTCAGTGTGACCGCGTGGAAAAAAACCATAATTGAAATGACTTGAATTTCTCGAAATCTGTGGGTTTGATTTCGCTGAAATTAAGAAAGAAATTACTTATAATGATGCCCCTTCTACTGATATACCGTGCAAGTTGGCACAACCTCTGTGAGAGCTGTATTAATTATTTAAAGTTTGCATAGATTGATGGTTTATGTCATGGCTCCGCACGCTGTCTCAGTGTGACCGCGTGGAAAAAAACCATAATTGAAATGACTTGAATTTCTCGAAATCTGTGGGTTTGATTTCGCTGAAATTAAGAAAGAAATTACTTATAATAATGCCCCTTCTACTGATATACCGTGCAAGTTGGCACAACCTCTGTGAGAGCTGTATTATTTATTTAAAGTTTGCATAGATTGATGGTTTATGTCATGGCTCCGCACGCTGTCTCAGTGTGACCGCGTGGAAAAAAACCATAATTGAAATGACTTGAATTTCTCGAAATCTGTGGGTTTGATTTCGCTGAAATTAAGAAAGAAATTACTTATAATAATGCCCCTTCTACTGATATACCGTGCAAGTTGGCACAACCTCTGTGAGAGCTGTATTAATTATTTAAAGTTTGCATAGATTGATGGTTTATGTCATGGCTCCGCACGCTGTCTCAGTGTGACCGCGTGGAAAAAAACCATAATTGAAATGACTTGAATTTCTCGAAATCTGTGGGTTTGATTTCGCTGAAATTAAGAAAGAAATTACTTATAATAATGCCCCTTCTACTGATATACCGTGCAAGTTGGCACAACCTCTGTGAGAGCTGTATTAATTATTTAAAGTTTGCACAGATTGATGGATTATGTCATGGCTCCGCACGCTGTCTCAGTGTGACCGCGTGGAAAAAAACCATAATTGAAATGACTTGAATTTCTCGAAATCTGTGGGTTTGATTTCGCTGAAATTAAGAAAGAAATTACTTATAATAATGCCCCTTCTACTGATATACCGTGCAAGTTGGCACAACCTCTGTGAGAGCTGTATTAATTATTTAAAGTTTGCACAGATTGATGGATTATGTCATGGCTCCGCACTAGAGGCCTGCATGAATGTATTTATTTCCAAACTTACAGTACTGTACAGCTGTACACGGTACTCAAATTTAGTGTACTCATACAATATTGTAGAGAGTACCCACTCTACCGATAGTAACTG